CATTTTTCGGCAATTCAAATATTCAAATTAATTTTTACAAGTTTTATTTCGGGTTCTCGTGATAACCTCGAATAAAGGTAAAAGTTGTTTTTGTTTCAGATTTTACAAAGAGAAAAAAAAATGAAATAAATTTATTGGCATTTCACCTTTTGAATTTAGTGCCTAAAGAAGGGATACCTACGTTAAGGCAATAATGTTTTCTTCACGCAGCAATTCAACAACCACACAGGGTGATAGATAATAAATTAAATCATAAATTTATTGTAACGCGCCAATAATAATAATATTTTGTGTTTTCTAGGGCACCACGTGAACCTTAATGTGTTTGTAATTTCTTTTAATTTCTTTTTTTTTGCGCAAACAATACAGCCAAGTAACGTGTCAACTTGTACTCAAGGGATTCAAAATATTGGTATACGTACACAAACACATGAATGTAATTATGCTTTTTATGATCAACAATAAAGGTTGGTAGTTGAAATAAAGAAATTTGAAGCAAACGATATTAATTAATCGCACTTATTTGAGAACCGTAGCGATTAAGACATGAAGAGAAAGAACAATAGTTTGTGAAACACTTTAACACGCAAAAATGTTAGAAAAAGATGGAATGTGGAAAAGATTATTATTAAGTAGAAAGAGAAAAGAAGATTTGCGTGTCACTAAGAACACACAAAATTTGACGGTTCACATATGATAAAAAGTTGTCAATATATCATATCCCTCATAAATTTTATTACCAAAAATTAAAATGAATGGAAAATTGATTACAAAATATTGGAATAGAAAAACCAAAGTTTATTCAAATATAAAGAAAAACAAAACTTAAATTATTTTTATACTCAAAATGCAATGACAAAAATATAAATTATGTAATAAAGGCGAAAGGCAATCATTTCAACAAATTTATTTCCGATTTATTCATGATGACATATATCGTCGGCGAATATTATGTGACTCAAGTTTATATGTGAGAGAAAAGAATTTTTTATATTTATGTTATGGGACAACGACATACATCGTGCTGCATATATGATTTTTATTTGGGGAGAAAATTTACATATATGTGATCGGTTTTTCATGCGATATCACGAGTTATTGATTTTATTTTAACTCCATATAAATGTTTTTATATTTTTCAAGTTGCTTTTTCTCTTATTTTCTCACAGATACTGCAGTCATAAATATCGAGGAAATGAAATCCCATTTAATAGTAATATATAAAGAAGAGTATATGAGGAATAATTTTCTTTAATTTAATCCACATTTATGAGTTGTTTTCTTCCTCAATTCTTTTGGTTACAGGCATTATATGTTGTTTGCTAAGCATAATCATGTTACCATAAATCATGACTTTGTTATAAAAATAAAATTTATTTATTTATATTTTCATTTCCAGGTGAAATGGCATAAGTAAATTTTATTAATGATTTTCAGTTCCTTATTTTTCCTGATAATTTCCTTTCGTTATTTGGAAAATTAGGCTGAAAACGACAAATATTACAAGACATAAAACTTTTAATTGAATATAATGAATGGGGCTTGAATAAGACTTAACGTTAATCTAAATAAGTCGATAATAATCAGCTAATTTTTTTCCCTTTTGTTAATTATGTTATACTAATTTTATGAAAGTTTTTCCAGTTAATAATAATTTTTTTATAATTTGTTGTCTAAACAAGGCCAAGCAATAATTTATAAGACATTCTTAAGAACATCATGTATTTGATTCCAACAACTTTTTTGTCGTTTTACGTTTTAGAAGTATTTCCTGAAGAGCCTAATTTAAAACGGAAAAATTATCACTAAATTAATATGACAGCAATTAACCCCCCGCAGAAATTAAACATGAATAAACAAAGTGATGAAATTACTCAATAAATATGAAGATAATGTAGTGAAGAATTTGTAAATTAAGCAAAGATAATGAGCACTCTGATATTCATAGTGCATGATAAAATGTCATTTATTGTGACTTTAATCGATATACTTAAGATAAGGATCTCAAAATAAGGGAGAATGTAGAATTAAGTGAGTTACTATACATGTAAGTTAGCAAGAAAGAAATGTACGATAATTTTACGAGTATCAACATAGTCAAGCATTAGTCCTAAAATAATTAAATTAATTAGTGTCGCCGTATCGCGTGCATATTTGGTCGTATTGGATTTTTATTTATTCGCTCATTCACAAACAGAGAAAGAAATGTTGGATAAATGTAAAATGAATGTGGGTTATAATCACATTAAACAAGGTTTTTCATGCATATGGCATATTAATTAAGTACACAAAAACAAACGCTGAAAAAAGCTCACGTTCGTAAAATATTTTAATTATAATAAGGTGTTTACATTCCTTTATGAATATATTGATTAAAGGATAATCAGAAAATGAATTAGAAATTAATAATTATAGCACGATTATCTGATGTAGTGAGAAATTAAATTACACCAAAATATACTTAAGTAATCTTTTAAATTTAAATATCATCAATCACATTCAAGACTTCCCTTCACTCAATTATTTGCTTGACGTTGTAAAGTGTTTATTAATAACAAGTTTAATGTGAAAAAAGGATAATTAAGCATTATGTTAAGCAACACATAAAATGAAATGAAACCACTAATGGCATAATCGCCTACCGAAAAAAATAATACGAATGAGAAGAGGAGAAATTTATAATATTTAATTTTCCTTTCAACCCTTTTACTTTCCTTCAACGCTTCACACACATTAGACATACTTTCACTATATTAGCTATCCGCAAATTACTTTTTATGGCTCTACTGCTAACCATAGCTTTGTAAATTTATTTATATGAGCATACAAATCCTTCAATCCTTCTTTCTCTTTTTTGTTTTCCTTAGTACAGTGTGAGAAAAACATATGCTTTATTGTTGCTTATTAGCCATAACATAAATTCATTTTTTTCTTTTCTTTTTATATAGCATTAAATTGCTCACTGAAGTGAATTTATTGTTCTTATTAACACAAAAATTGTATGTATAAAAAGTGTAGTGAGATATTCGGAAATTACAAACATCAATAGGAAAAATCAACAAGAAAAACAATAATAATAGAAGCAATAAAACCCAAAGAATGCACAGTAAAGGGTTGAAAAGCAAGAGATGAATAAAATTGAGTTTTCCAATTTTTTTTCGCATTCCTTTAGCTATGAAAAAATCTTTTGTGGGAAGTCTAGAACATTTTTGCTGTGCAATTTCTACAGCTGACAAATGACAGGAATGAGAGTGAACCAAATAAAAAAGAAAGGAAGAAAAAAATAGTAAAACGTTTAAAATTGATTGACTGTGAATAAATTAATTTGTTTTCAATTACATTTCCTTAATGAAGCGTAGAATTGATGCCGTTTCTATAAACATTGATCACTTTTGATCAGAAAAACTTTAAGGACTTTAATTATTGCTATATGACAAGAATCCAAACATTTTAAGAATATAAGTTCCTTTATATGTATCAATTTTTAAACCTCCATCATATTATTAGATTGACATTGAGATCTAATTTGAGTTATGAGTTCAATTTCCTTATCAATGCAGTACAATTGAATTGAGATAAATTGAAATGTAAAGGAAATCGTTTCCCATTTTGTCTGATCTGATTTTCTCTCTTTCTTTATATACTTTATTTTCTCTGTTGGATTGGCAGATTTTTATTTTTCATAGCTATGGTTGGAGAATTTGAAGAAAAACGAATAAAAAACCAAACATGTATTAGGTAAAACTCGTAATCGTAATCTGTGCTCGAATGTTGTGACATAGACATGGCAAATTGAAAAAAAATCTTCTTTAAATTGTATGAACGAGAATGCTTTCTTTATATTTTGTGTACTGAGGTAAAGACATTGCTAAACTGAGTGGGACTATTATAATACTTCAAGTTTTTTTTATTTTTTTTCCCATGTTGTGTGATAGAAAAAAAATTACCTTTCCCTTGTGAAAGAAAATTGGCAAGACATTTTGAAAATTGGAAAATTGGATTGTTGTATGTATTCCTCAATTCTTCTTTTTTGTTTGATTTTCTTTCAATTGATTTATATTGTTCTTCTGGATAATAGAGAAGGAGCAAACGCAGAAAGGTAGAATAAGAAAATAGAAATAAATTAAATGGAATGAAATTTCATTACGAAGATTTCTCTATCTTCTTTACTACCTACAAGAATCCCATTACGGTTTAAGCTAGTTAGTATGTCAAATGACTATGAGGTTGTGCATTCGTCAGGAAAAATAATTGAGAAAATTTACTCATAAGAAGTACTTTCTTGGAAAAAGTTTTCTTCTTTTGTCTTGACATTTAGCCAATTAGTTGCACGAAAATAATTAATTTTGTGAACGATGTTGATCACTGTAGATTTTTGGAAGTTTAAAAGTTTATCAATGAGGAAAATAACTATTATGAGAGTTGAAAATTACCACTTTTATCTGTTTTACATATTAGTAAAATTCTTATTATTAAGATATATTTAGATTGCATGCATGCCTGCACGTACGATTTGCTTTGATTGCATTACTCCATTTAAGACAAGGAAATTTTTTTGCGATACAATAGGAAAAAAAGGAAGCTTAAGTAATTTAAATTGAAATCGGAATTTCTTCAATTAAATAAGGCACAATATAAATTTGCTTCCAAATACTTTTCGTAACTTGTATTCAACAAGCATAACTTTTAGTAAGAATTGAAAATAACAAAATAACAAGTTTAAAGTATTAGACAATGGATGTGAAGGAGGAAAAGAAAATGACAAATGAGAATCGGATAATAATCATTTCAGAGGATTACCAATTAAATTACGTGTGTGCGTCAAAGTCTGATGGGTTTACAAGTCAAGATGTCAAAATAAATTGAACACGTATTTTTAAACAAAATATCATTTTACCCTACATTTATTTATTGTTTGTAGATCACCGAAGAATTTTGGATAATTTATGAAACATTATCAGACTAGCTTGCAATATTATTATTTTTTATTATGAACTCACCTGAACTCTAACTTCGGGCAAATTAACTTTCATGGCAAGTTCTTCGCGTGAATAGACGTCAGGATAATGACTTTTCTCAAATGCCCTTTCTAGTTCATGCAATTGATATGTTGTAAAAGTTGTGCGATTCCTTCTATGTTTCTTTTTGGAACATGAATCATCTGAATTTGGAAAAGCAAAAAAGGAAAAAAATTTTATTTAATTTTATAAATTTAAAAATTGTTTTTACGCACCTTCATCTTCACTTCCAGAATTAAGTTTTTCACCTTGATCACTCGAAACTGTATTTAGATTCATATCATCACTAGATGCATAATTCATTCGCATTTCATTTGAGTTTCCATCTTCATTTACTTTTCTATCATCTATTGATGCTATACGGTAGTCATCATTTGAATTTCCACTAACTATATTGCCATTGTAAGGCGTTTGGTGTTGTTGATCGTCGTACGGATTTCGAGTTGGAAAATTTTTCATAAAATCATTACATTTGTATTTTAAATTTTCTCCATCCAACACTGCAGTATTTTTCTTTAAAACTTGTGATGTTTCCTTTATGTCATGATTTTGAATAGAATCATCGTAATCGATTGTATCATCATATGATGACGAAGATGATGTATTCTTACTACTATTATTGTTTGGCTCATCATCTTTATTATTTTCACTGTGATTACTATTTGCTGTTTGTTGATTATGGTGATCGATTGTTTTGTATTGGTTTAATGAATAATGATGAGCATGCTGATCAGCTATTATTTGTTGTGGATAATTTAAGTGATATTTTTCGTCTATCATAAGAAAAAGAAAATAAGAAAAAAAATAATATGTTATTTAAATTTTTCAAAACAGACACAAAGCACTTATTCAAAGCATTTTGGAGGATTTCATTCAAAGTTAGTAAAAATAATGAAAAATGTTTTGTCACAAGGACAGTTTTATAAGTCTCATAAACCATTAAAGCTAGTCTTTATTATAGACTTCTGACGCGAAAGTAGTAAAACTTTTGAATTTCCATTTCCTGTGAATTTTTTCACCCTCCTACAGTATCGTTTACAGCATTTTTAAAATCGTTAATTTTCACTTTAATTATTTTTGCTTTGTTGAATGCAAAAAAAAACTTTTCTACTTGTTGTGAACTGCCACGACAGTAATTTTTAACTACAAATTTATTTTTTTAATGGATGTTTTGCATGCAACTTGTTATTTCCTATCTAAATGGGCTCTGCAAATTCAAAAAGAATACTTTCAAACCAGGAATTGAAAACTAGAATTTAATTTAATGTGATTTAATGGATAAAATTGTCGCGCGAAACGTGGTGAACCATTCAAACTTTTTCTCTTACTATATATATTTTTTATTGAATCTATTCCTTCTCGTGCATTATTTTTTACATGAACGGAATCTCGCGCGCGATCGAAATTTCATTTGCAATTAATAAAACAGTTTCGTGAATCGTGTTCATGTTTCGAGGTTTTTAGATTTTAATTTCATTTCATTCATATTATTCTCTCATATATGTGTGCATATAATATATACATTTTCATGAATATGGCAAGCATTAATGCACAATTTTAATTGCGCTTTGAAAAGAAACAATTTTGCGTTTTAGTGCTGGAAATTAAAATTAACTGTAACAACAACAGCAACATTGATGAGCTTAAAATTTAATTGTATTTTTGAATATACAATGTTCGATGTTGGCATAGAAAAAAAATTACCATTGTACTAAACAAAATGTGAAAGATTATTATTCACAATTGAAAATTGTAATTACATTCTAATTTATCGCTTGATTGATTAATTTTTGCGTTTTGAATTTCCATATTTTTCATCTCATCCTTAATTTTTCGCATTTTTTCTAAAAACATTTACAGCGATTTTATATGCGCATGACATTATCATAACTTATATTCACACATAAATTCATTCATTCTTATTTTCCTGTCAAGTTAAACCCAGCAGTATACTGGAAACAATTTAATTTTTTAATTGAACTCAACATGAAAATTCTGATTTAATTATGTACAGTTATTATTATAAGCTCTGTATAAAAGTTTTTTTCATTTTTTCTTATGCTTAAGGTAATTTTCACATTTTCAACTTGTGCTTATTTTCTTTCATTTACCACAACATTCTTTATATACGTGCTTATATATAGAGTGTTTATAGCATTTCGCTTTAATTAATATCAAAATTAGTTATGATTTGCTTGAAATTGCTACACAAAATTTTCCCGTATTTTGTTTAACCATTTTGGCGCGTTTTTTCTTCCTTCTACTTTTATACATTGTAAATATATAAAGAAAAACAACTTGAGCAAATAAGCGAATGAGCACGTTTATAAAAAGCCAACAAACAAGTTTTATAATTAAGCAGAATATGAAATTAATGCATAATTACTGATTACTGAAATGACTTAAAACTACATTGCCTGCTTATAATAAATGTAGACCAAAGCAAAGAGATTGATTGTTCACGAATGATCGTAAAGTTAAGGATATAAAAAAAAAAACGCAAACCTTAACTGAATTAATTTTCCCTCGCCCTTTCACTTTGTATGAGAATTTTTTTATGAGCAAGCTGATAATTTATTTCTTGAATAATTTTTTGTTATATATTCAGGTAATTATTTTGGGTACTTTTCTGTTTACTTCTTACTAAAATAAATAATAATAAAAATCACAAAAAATTGTTGATTTATTATTAACACAAGCATAAAATGAAATACAAAGGAAAACAATAAACTTAATACATTACTTTCTTTCTGTTTAAGCAAATAACTATTTAATTGACATCAGGATCTCTAATTAATTCGTGATGTAAATTGTTGCTTAAAACGTCAAGAAGTCAAAGCTAATGAGCTTTAATTGGAACAAAATTTATGTACGAAGAACATGACTTGATATGTTTGTACATTTTTAACAAGTCTTGCAGGCATCTTTTTCATTTAATCTTTTACTCTTCTTATCATTGTGAGGAAATGAAATCAATTAATTGTGTCAACTTTGAGTTATTTTATTATCATAATATGTTTTTAACTACCCCATTAGTCGTATTTTTGTATACAAATTATTCTACTTGATTTAATGTAATTTATAAATCTTAATCTGACAAGATGACGTTTCATTAGAGCAGAAAATAAAAACAAAATCATCGTGGTCACAAACATGTAGGTTTAATACCTTTCACTTTAGGATTAAATCATTCTTAACAGAAACAATTCTAAAGAAACATTTTAATTACTTTTTCGATTTATTCATGGATTAAATATTTTCTGCAATCGACTGCCTTTTTTAAGTTTTATTCTCCATACAGTCGTTCTTCACTTAATTTTATATGCAATCTTGCTTGATCTTCTAGCTTAAATTGTTATTATTTTATATGATTGCTTTACTTTAAGACTATTTTATGATGGAAGAAAACAAGAACCATTGATCCAGTTTGCAACAGTGAAAGACTTTCTAGACAATCTTTCATTTTCAAGTTAACTTTAAAACTTGCTGGATTCACTCATTAGATTTAATCAAATCTGTTCTCGCAATATATTTCAAATTGAAAAAGATTAAAATAATGAAAGATTTATAAGCCTCTCAAAATTATTGAAAGGCTTGCTAACAAATATTAATATATTTGTTGAGTATATTTTATTCAGAACCCATTAAAAATTAATATCATTGAGTTTATTAAATAAGAGAGGCACCTGCCAATCATATGAAATGGTTAAGTGAGAACAAAAAAGATATATTGAATAAGCAATTATCGCAAATCAGACATATGATCAAATTTTGACTATTGTCTATATATTTAAGTTTTATAATCATGAAATCACGACTGCAACAAGAATCATTGTTTTAGGTAAAAACATTTTGTAAGATACAATAGATATCACAAAAGTGAAGTCAGTTGCACACTTATATTATTTTCAAAGTACAGTCTACAGAAACAGATCAAATTTGATTATTTTATTAATAAATGCACTAATAATAAAGTAAAGATAAGGAGAAAATAAAATGAAAATATCATTCAATATATAAATTATCTAATGGATATAAGCTAGAACAAAAGTTTTCGGTTAAAAATCTTTCAAAACCTTACTATTATGTGAGCATATAAGACGAAAGAAGAATAACACCGCCCATAATTCAATTGATTAATTTTCTTTAAATGGATTTTGATTAAGATCGGAAATTTTTCATTAATTTTTTTTATTTCACGTTTCATCAATATTTAATGCTTTTAAGAACTAGAAGAGAGAAAAAAATTGGTAGTTGAAATTCAAGACTTATGAGGTCACAAAAGCCGCACTACTCTAAGTAGTAATAATCAATTAATTAATTTTTTCTCTTTATAAATCACTAGAAGCCTTTTAAAATAAATTTTAATGATTTTTTGTCTTCAAGTCGTTCCTTAATGAAATTATCAATCAATTTTCATCAACCAAATGCCTTAATGATTGACTTCCCGCTAATATTTAAACTTAATAGCATTTAACGTGTATGGAGTTGGTATGGAGTAATACACGAGGAAAATTTTTTATTCAATGAAACGAGAAGCACATTTGTCGATAATTGATTTTTGCGGTGAATGAAGGGAGAGAAGAAAAAGTGAATCTGACAGTGGCAGGAAAAGAAGAGTAAGAAGAACAATTTTTATTGAATGAAATTTAACTTTTTTCGAAGTCATCATCGCAGACATCGTCATCAATCAGAAGTCATTAAAATTATAATCGAATATATAATTAAAGTGTTGTTTCACTTCCATTCGTTTGATTGTCAATTCACTTGATATATGTTATGTTCATGTTGTTCGGCATTTAATTGATGTATTTCCATTAATTGCCACCGTTTTCTTTTTCTGCTCTTTCAATATTCGTTATTTAGCTTTTGATTTTTCAATTCATAATGTAGTAATTACTTAACAATGGAGGGGAAGAATTAAAGAGAAAAGATCAATTTGGAAGCTAATTGAATTCTCAACACTCACCTCCAATGTTATCACAGCGATCATTTAATCCTAAAATAGCGTCTATTGTATGTCGAGGTGTTAATGTTTGTCCCGTATACTTCTTAGAATCTTTCATGCAATATCCATTTTCTGTAAATAATGTTTATTCATAGTTAAGGTTTTAAGCATCTACTTCCGGTTTTTTTTTAATAAGGAATCATCAAAATTCAAACCAAGTTATTAATATTTTAATTTTAAAAATCAACATTTATGATCCTAAGGTAAAGAATCATTTGTAAATTAGGAAAAAATTCCTTTTTTATATGCAAGGAACATATAATTCATGCCGTCGGATCAGTGAGAATTTAAAAGAAAAGATAAAATGTATACCTTCTTTGAAACTTTCATCAAAGTTATCCAACTCAATTTGTCCACATTCTTTAATTTTTTCCATAATCATGTGGAAGTTTTTAGTATCGCGAATGCTATCAAGCAACTTTTGTGTATTACTTATGTCACTAGGAGTGCATTGATTTCGAGCGATCAATTTCTGTATTATGCGCTCAAACAATTGTTTTTGAACATCGTTTAATGATCGTATGTCCATTTTTTAATTATAAAGTTAATTTCAATTGTTTTCATTTATTTTTCAAAATAAATTTTTGCCTTTGTTAACAAAACATATGAAAAAAAATTATATGAATAAATTAATAGTTATATTTAATTATCCTTGGAGTAACGTTTCCTTATTCACTTTTTTGTCATACACAATTGAGCCATAAATTGCATGTCAAGCTTGTAACCTCATTAAATTTTCACTTCATATACAGAGTTAAATTATTATTCTTATTTTCGTTATTTAACTTTCACAGTTAATATATTCAGTGGACATGAAAATTTAAAATGCTAATCAAATAGATTTAATTATATTTATGAGCACTTTGCACCGGTTAATTGAACATTAAACAATATTCCATAATTTTCTTTTCTCCTGCTTCTGTTTCCACAAAAATGATTTATATTAATTTCCTTTAATTTGTGTTGCGTGAAATACGAAAATTCAAATTTTAATTTTTCTTTTCCTTATACAATTCACCACAAAACTTTAAGAAATTTATGCACAACCGAACTCGCATACGGTACAATGTGATCTGATTCAAGGCACACATCGAACATAATAAAACAATTTTCATCGTCACACAGTGTAAAGTAAGTTTCATACCGTGCATTTGTGAAAACGCCCCCTTATGAAGTTTACTTCTTTTCATGAATGTATGAGTGAGAGTCCAAACACAAATTATTGTGATGAATTCTCACAGTGGAAAATTGGTTTCATGCTTTTCTCGCTCTCAAATGGAAAATTTTATTTCAGTTCAATTTTTTTCACTTTTCTGTAAGGATCTAAGCCAATGCTCTGACAAATGATACATGTATTTATAGCTATATATAAAGATACCGAACGAGAGTGAATATCCTGAAGAAATAAAATGTAATGAAATAATTAAATGTTTGTCAGAGAAAATTGAAGATTGTTAAGGATTTTTGCTGTTATTGCTACTAAAGTTTGTGTTGAATGTGTGCACGTGTGAACAGTACAAAGCCTCACTTTTCCTCTCTCTTTCTTTCTCTCTCTAACACTTATCTATATAAATTTGTGTCGTTTTGCATTAGTGATATTCTTATTTTTTTTATGATTGAACATAATAAACAATCAGAGAGAATTTTCTTCCTTTTTATCGTAATTGAATTTTTTTCCTTTTGATATTTTTTCTAACTTAATTTAGCAGTATAAAGAACGATATCAAGTGGAAAGAGAAAAGTGAAAATTAATTTTAATTAGTTGATGATGAATGGAATTTAATTTAAAAGTGCTAATAAAATGTTTTTATTGAATCTAATTGCTTCCAGCGTGATTTCATTTGAAAAAATCCCAAAATAACGATTGATTTTTTAATAATTAATTAACGCTCTGAAAAGCAATTAAAAAAAATAATTTCAAATAATTATATCACTCATTTCTGTTATCATTATTATTAATTATCAATGAAAATAAAGCTTTGATTTCATTTCCACAATAAATGTTGCAAAATAAACATGACAGGAAAAGAATTTAAATAAAACGATAATTAAATTTATTAAGTTTAATTGGAAAACAAATTACTTACACAAACGTTCATTGTGAAAAGCACTTCATTTATTTCATTATATTATCATATACTTCTTCTCACTCCTTATTTTTTTCAGTCTCTACCACAATAATAATTACTTTCAGATATTATCAACAGTGGCAGCACATCAAAAAAAGTATAATCATCCTATTACCAAAACATTCATTCTTTTTATCATGTGAAGAAACATCGTCATTGGTTAATTATACGAACAACTGCTGCTGTATGCGTGAGACTGAGGTGGAGTTAATCTCTTATTGTATTCTTCTCTGCTGACATACTCTTCTCCATTCTCTCCTTTTCTTTCATCTTTTTTTTTCTCATATTCATTCATCTGCCTGTTCACAGTATGCATGTTTACATCTTCAAGACTTTCTGTGTGTGTATTTGTGTACTTGTTTGTCTGTTGTCGCTAATAATCTCACTCATTTGAACCAATAATCTAAACAATTTAATGGCAATGTGATGAGAGAAAAATGAGATAATAAAAGCAATTTACGTTGATGATGACGATGAAAAGAGTGGAGGTAAAAATGGTTTCCGCTCTTCTATACTAGCTGTTATAATATTTACTCAAGATCAAGAAGAAAATTTCTTTTTTCTTTATTCTGCCAATTTATATTAAGTTTCGTTGAGTTATTTTTCCATTAAATTTCCTCTTGTTCCTTCTGTTTCACTCTGTTGTCTTCTTTTTCACTTTAATTATGTTTGATTTGTTTATCTTCGGTGTTAACATTGTATGAATAATTTTTTAAGGTAAGGAAAACATTTTTATTAGTATTTGAATACATCTTATTATTATTATATAAAACTTCTTCAGGCAAATGCACCAGAAAAATATTTCTATTGTGCTATTTTCCTTAGTTTCATTCAACATAATCAAAATTGAAAATATATGAAAAATATGATAAATTTAAATTTAAATAGTTTGTTTCATTTACAGATGGAAAATTGCTATATTGTGATGTAAAATCTAATCTCACATGGGATGTTCTATGCAAATGAATATCCAAAAAGGTGTGAATCAAGAGAATGCTCTGGGACATTTGAAAATTAACATTGTGAATGTGTGAATGCAAGGCAATTTTGTTCAGAGGTTGATTTTTTTTTTAAATTATTTATACTAGGTTTGAGAAGATAAAAGAGGGACAGGAAAATTATTATTATCAAAAAATTCAATTTTCTGTCCTGCGGCGAAAATATGTCAAAGTTCTTGTATACATTTATGGAATAGAATTTCCAATCAAAAATCTTTTTTATTCCAAAATTGCCTTTGATTTAATCGCTAAACGAAACAATTCAATTACTTTATCAATTTTTGTAATACATAGTATAAATAGGAACATGCAGAGAAAATTTCAATATCAAATTATACAATCTTTCATGAATGGAAATAGAAAAAAAAATCGTGTGCTGAAAATTCTGTAAAGTCAACCTCCAATTACAGTCATATTCATTTTCATGTAGTTATAAAAACATTTTCATAAGAAAATAAGAATTCTGTTATTTAAAAAAAGCAGATGGTTGAGCATCACCAAAACATAAAATAAAAGTGGTAAAAACTTGTCACGCTGTTATTGTCAGCATGCATAATTTCAAACTGTACTTTATATTGCATTCTTTATAAAAAAAATTATTCGATTTAAAGTAACTGATAAGATAAAGTGAAGGTTGTTTTAAAAGTGCCTTTATGTCAAAAACATAATGCTTCAGGCAGTAAAGTACAAAGTTAATTATGATTTTGTATTAAATTTTCTGTTGTTCTATAATCTAGACTGAACCCTAGAGTTTCAATTTATTTGTTAAATCAATTTATATTATTTTTGAATCTTGTTCATTATTATTTTTCAAATTTTCTTATGCTTAATTTTTACATCTAGTAGGATTTGGATGACTTCCTAACGGCATCTTGCGTACACGAATTGTGACTAGGTACATTGCAGGGTACATCACGTCTTATGACGAACTCGTGTCTTTGCAATGTGCTGAGCTTGCAAGTGGTTCGGATCCCACTATAAACTGTAGGTATAAAGGGTGTGGTACAATAGATTCTTTACAAATTGAATCGCAGTGTCTCCAGCAGAAAGGCTGGACCCTTCACACATTATTATTATTATTAGAATCTAGTTTATCTCATCGTACAGAGACTCACACATTATTATTTGCATTAGTACACCCCAGAAAATGTTCAAATATTTTTCATATACTTTTAAACCTAAAGGACAAGATAAATGTTTCTATAGTTAGAAAAAATTAAATTCATTTAAACCCAAATCTTTGGATGCAAACTTCTCTAGAATTACTTTATCGTTAAAAATGTAATAAAATTATCAAAAGTTTTAAAACTGATCCATATTTCTTGGTCTTTTTGCATTATTCTAAAAATAACAATAAAATATCACACACCTTAAAATAGCAAACAACAACAATACATTGCTCTTTTTATGAATTAACGTTTACCGCACTTAATTTGAATGGAGTTCTCAAAGAAAAATATGTGCAATATGTGGGAGGATGCAAAAGAGACTTAGTGTCTTTTGTGAAAAGTTGCTAGATAAATTTCTATACAATAACAGCTTTTAAAATATAAAATGTTTATTTTAGGTGTTAAAAGTTTATTGTAAAAATATTCTTCAGCCACTTGATATGCTTTTATGTAAATAAAGAATTTTTAAAAATTCCGATTGTCAGCTATCTCTGTGGGAATCTTTGTAGCGACAATAGATGAAAGCAAGAATTGTCTTTTTAGAAGGCGGTTTTGCATTTCAAAAAAGTTGTTTGGCTGTATCTTTTTCTTCGAATTGTTTTATTGTTATTGAATTTTTGATATGTGATAATGCGAGAATAAGAGATTATTTAACATTTTATTTTGAAATAGCTGATTCTCAGGACTCTTTAAGACTTTTAAAATTAAATTAACAATTTTTTTCAGTACAGCAATCCAAAGGTTAAAATGTTCCAAACTGGATCTAATACAATTTCCTTTTTTTTACGTGCAGACTTGTTTTTGCTTGCTGTATGATTATCTCAGTTGGATGTTTTTTTTCTCTCTCTCTAAGCTCTTCATAATGGTTCATCTGCAAACTTCGAAGAGTATATTAAACGATCATTTTTATATAGGGATGATTAAGAGTTGATGAAAGGCAGGAAGTATGAAATTATAGGTTTAATGGAAACAAATTGACTACAATTTCAACAATGAATAGTAAATTGTGTATTTCAATCGATGATTATTTTAAAACTTTCATTTCATTGAGGTAAAATTCTTATTTAACTAATTGATGTACATAATTGTGGTATTCATAATGTAAGAGATTTAAAAATAAAAACAATTTTGATAAGCACTTAATATTTGTCAAAAACAATTTCGTTACATTAATTGTAATAAATTGAATAAGATAGAAATTTGATAGTTTTTGATGTTTATGGTTCTGTATCT